CATAATAAAATATAAAATATATTATATATATTATACATTATATATTTTACATGATGTTGTTGTTGTTGTTGTTATTTGCCATCAAGTCGGACCGATTCATAGCAACCCCCTCCTTAGGTTTCCAAGGCAGTATTACTTCGGAAGTAGATTGCCCTATCTTCCTTCCGAGGAGTGGCTGGTGGGTTTGAACCACCAGCCTTATGGTTAGCAGTCAAATGCCTTAGGCACTATGCTACCAGAGCTCCCATTTTATATTATATAATATATATATATATACACACACACAATACACAGAGTGAGAGAAAGTGCACTATCTCAGTGAAATTGCTCATGTGAGTATAGAGACTGGCAAATCCCAAGTGTTTGAGTCAGAAAACAAGCTGGAGGCTTATCCTGACTCATATAGGTGTAGAGGCTGATGAACCCACGATTGGCAGGTCAGATGGCAGGCTGCTGGCTCACATGCAGTGGACGCTAATGAATCCCAAGACTAGTAGGCAATATGGCAGGCCACTGGCTCAAGTTCCAAGAACTGAAGGTAAGATGATGACATGCTGAATGTAGGATCCAGAGTGAGCAAAAAGCCAGAGAGTTTTACCAAAATGCCCATATATATTGGATGCAAGCCACACCCTTGAAGAAATATCTTTCAACTGTTCATAGCAGGTCTCATCATGGAAGTGATTGCATTATATCAAATCTCATCATGGTGGATGGCAACATCATTGCATAACTCCCAAACTATATCATAACTTCCAAACCACTGAAAATCATGGCCCAGCCAAGCTGACACACAACATTAACCATCACAATATTAAATTGGTTTCAGTAGAGCTTTCAGATTAAGACAAACTAGAAGAAAGACCTAATGATCTACTTCCAAAAATCAGTCATTGAAAACTCTATGGCTCACAAAGGTATGATCCACAACTGGTCATGGGGATGGCACAGGGCCAAGGCAGCACTTTGTTCCACTGTACATGGGGTCAGCATGAGTCAGGGGCAACTCAAGAGCAATGATGGTAATGGTGATGATAGTGGTGATGATGTTGATGATCCTGTCTGTCAATTTCACATTCAAGAAACTCTGTTTGCCTTATAGCCTTTCCCTCAGTATTTCCCTTAAAGCACTTCCACACTCACATCCCTTCTTCTTTTGCAGTGAAAGTGACGTCAAGCAACTCTGGCTGCAGCTGAAGAAGGATGAACCTCACTTACTGCCCAGTTTTGAGGATTTCTTGACCAGGATCTTCTTCCAGCTCCAAGAAGCTCATGAGGAGAAGAATGAACTGGAATGTGCCCTGAAAAAGTGGGTACCCAGTTTCAGCTGTTCTGTGTACTTAAGTATGAGAAGTAGTAATATAAAGCATGGTTTCTCTTAGGTCTTCCACCAAAACATTCCATGATATCTATACAGGCCAGGCCCTATGTCTGTGATAAAATTTTTTAAGCCTTTATTCACACTTATTAACCACTCACCATATATTAAGCACTATTCTAAATATTATA